TCTTGCCATTGCCTTTTTCAGACTATTTTATAGACAGAACTAGAAATACTAGTTATATAAGCTGTTCTAGCACAGACTAGAAAGTAGGTCATTGTGATGGGAGTATGCAAAACCACCCACTGGTTGCTATAGCGATGACCTACTTTAGAAACTATTTCTGTTGATTCATGTTGAAATCATCTTTTGGAAGTGGCATAAGGAAGTTACTACATGTACGTTTTTATAGTAGTAAAAGGTAGTGATTTGTAGAGGAAAATTCCTTAAAATGTTTAAAATGAGCAAGTGCATTAATCTCTTCATTTCAGAATGGTTCATTCAGTATTATAATTAAGTTGTGCTTCTATACATAAAGGATTGCAGTGAGTTTTACTATCATTTGGCCTATTTAAAAGACAGTCTATTGTTTTATTAGCCAAACCTTCAAATGGGAGTACGTAACTATGCAGTCAGTGTATGCCAAATTTATCTGTTCAGTGTTGAATGATGTTTGAAGACACATCTTTATACTATATGAATGTTGAAATGATGTTCTCTGGACCACACAATCTGAACTCTATGTGATCCCATTCTAAACTGAGGGCAGAGGACAAAGGGTTAGATTTTGTATAGTTTTCAAATAATAGTTTTTATTTATCTCTAAAAAGAAATTTCACTGATCAGTGACTGATACTTTGAACCTACACTATTGAAGGTTTATTTTTCTGTAGTACTACCACAGAATTACAGGTTTTAAGATTAGCTAATTTTGAGTTTTTATTGTACTATACCTTTTAAATAAATAGATATTTATATTAGCATTGGTGTTGTCACTGGGGAAAATCAAACCTTGGCTTATAGTCACATTCAGGTAAAGGTACACATTTAGTGAGATTCTGTGTAAGCTGAGCATCCAACAAATTCATGCTTTCCTATTGTCGTGCCCAAGTATTTACATATATAAATACATGGGACTTTGTTTTCAAAAACAGGTACTACCTTTTTTTTTTCTATGTTTTTTTAAAGATGGATCACATGGGTCTGCCTATATAGCCCTTGAACTTGGGATCCTCCTACTGCACATCTTGAGTATTGGAATTATGAGTTTGCACCTCCCCACTCACCTTAAGAATAGGAATTATTCTGAAGGGAAAGTAACAGTAACTTCTGTTTAATGGATTTTAGCCATTGTGTACTAATAGGTTTTATGTGTTTCTCATCCTCTCAAAAGCTATGTAAAACAAGCCTATTAGCATCTTACCCTACTTCAAGTCTTTTCAATAGACTATGTAAGACCTGTGATGACATTTACCAGATATAGAAACTAAAGCATAGGTTAAGAAAGCCATGTAATTAAGAATCAGACATGGGTACTTAATATGAAATCCACAGAAATGAGTGGTATGTGTGTGTGTGTACACATGTGTATACATGCTTGTATTCAGGTTTGTGTGCTATAATGAACAATCTGAATTTTCTCTAGGACTAAATACATTCTCCTCTGACAGTTGAGAAAATAGAGAAAGTACCTTTAACTCTAAGACTTAAGACTCAATAGATATAAACTTGAGATAGGAATTGGCAAAGTTATTTCAGACTGAAGAAAGACTAGATCACATGTTCCAAGAGAATGAATGTGTACAAAGAGTAGCAGCTTGGTATAGAGAAGCAGTAGAGAGAGAGCAGGGTAGCAAGTGACCCTGAGATGGTTGGATGGCAGCGGAGAACATGCTTTGTTCTTTGCTATATAAGGAATGAGTCTTGAAGACCTTTGTACAAGATCATATGTCTCACAATGATTTGATAATGTGTACTGACATGGATTATGGTGATAGAGATTGTTGGTAGGCAGAGCTATTTTAAGACACTGCAGTAAATACAAGCAAGAGATAAAACTAGAATTATTGTAGTAAAAATAGAAGTTGGTAGCAAGGAGGAAACTGGAAAGTATTCAATAACATATGATAGTCCTTACTATCTACAGATGCTGGTCTGTGAGCCTCACAGATGTGAGCTGATTCAGCCCTCACAAACAGTTCTAGGATGGGTCCTAGTATACTTCAATTTTATAGACGGGGAAATTCAAGACTCCTCACAGCTGATCAGTGAATAATACTACAGCTAGACTTGTTAAGATTATGGAACATCTGTGCAGTGGTACTAGGACGCATGAAATCGTCTGTTGCGCTGTAAAGGTACTCAGCACCAGCAAACCAAGTGCAGGAGAGACTCTGCTCTGAAGGAACGTGTGCTGGTTGTCAATTCTGAGATTTTTTTTTTATGAAGCTAATATTAGTCCATTTTTATCTCTAACCAAAACTTCACTTCTCAAGGATAGATATAAAAAGTGCCTTGGTAAGAAAAAGCATATCTAAACATGCAGTGCAAATTTTATTTGATCAAAGAAATATGCATATATTTTTCTGTGTTGTTTATGATGTATACGAGTTCTTGTAGGTGCGTGAATGTTAATCTAGACTTGGTTGTTCATCTTATAAACCAGTAAATCCTTACCTCTTATAGACATGGCTCCACCATTAAGTTTAGTATGAAAAACTCTTCTTGCCAGTTTCAGTAGAAAACACAGACTTAGTGATAACAGCAAAGATTCAGAGATTACCTTGGTTGAATTCTACAGGGCATGTGAGCTTTGTGCTCTTTCTGCTTAGTCAAACTAGTTCATTCCATTTCTTTTACCAAAAAATTATTTGAACTTTTAACATCTAAGGTATCTCAAATCTACCTTGCCGAGAGGTGAGCTTGAGCCTAATTAACAGCACTGCACAATTCTGAGGCCAGAGTTCAGGTCCTAGCAAACATGTAACAAGCCTGCTGCCCCTCAAATGCCAGTACTCCTAGTGCCCTGGAGAAGCAAAGCAGAATTGTTGAGGCTTGCTGTCTGCCAGTATAGCCGAGTTCAAGGAGAGCTCCAGTTCAGGGAGAGACGCTGCCTCAGAGGAATAGATGCAGAGTTAAAGACAGTAATATCTGGCCCTTCCCTGTCCTCCGGTGATATGCACAGGCACCCCCTGCTCCCCCCACCACAAACCAACGCACGCACAAGCATGAATATTCACCCTTTCAACCACACACTCACAAATAAATAATCTTTAACTATTTTTTAAAAATGAAATCTCTCTTTTGGGGCTACAGCTGCTGAATTGAGAGAGTGCTTGCCTCACATGTGAGAAATGCTGGTTTCAATCTCTTGTGCCATATAAAGAAACCTAGCACAGTGACACATACTTAGAATCTCAGAACTCAGGATCAGAAGTTTAAGGCCATCCTTGACTTTATAGCAAACTCAAGGCTAGCCTGAACTACACAAGACCATGTGTCTTGTTCCCACACCCCTCAAAAAAATCTTGCTAAGAAAACACATGAAGTTCCATGACTGCCCATAGACACCTCTCACTTACTAGAGGTTGCATACTTGTGCACTCTATTCGGAGCCTCAGATGTTTTGTGTGAGTGTGCGTCTATTAACATCAGCCTTCTCTCAAAACAGTTAGATATTACAGTAGTGAGTCAAGCGGGGTTCCGGTGCTGGCAAGTAACTCCAAACCAAGACAGAAAGATGGCAGTTAAGACAGAAAAGTGAGACCGATGCTTGATTTCTGTTTAACAGCACCATGAGACTTCCTAAGATGAAGTGATGAGTGCCTTGCATGTCTGCACGGGTCTATCACTGTGGCCTCAAAACTATGGAGAGGGCACCTGCAGAAGGAGGAGTGTGTCAGGCAGAATTTACATCACTAAAAACTGCAGTTGTAGTAATATGAGCAGGACTTTTGGGTGTTGGTGGCATGATGTGGACAAAACCACAAGATAATATCCAGACTAAGCAGACTTTCAGGACAGTACTGTGTGGTATAACCTTGAAAGGACAGAAACAGAAACTCCTCTGTGCTGTGAGTGTAGCGACTACTGCCCTTAAGGATTGGACATGTGGTTGATCCCTTTAGCTTCTGGTTACCCACTGTATCGTGCATTCCTGGGGTGCTTTTCCTCAATTACTTCTCAGTGAGAATGTAGATTGTGGGAAAGGCAAAGGAATAAGAAACCAACCCAAAGAACATGGAAGAAACAAAGTAGACATAAACTGAGATCTGCCTGGCTGAGAGGAATTAACTGGAGAGACAGTGGGACTGGACTTTGTGGAGTAGGCTTCCCTTTAGATTTGTTCTTGGGAAGGGCCATCTCCTTACAGTAGAGCACGCACAGTCAGCAGTCTCCTATTGCTCCAGATTTCCCCAGTGTCTGCTGTATGTAAACCTCATTTTTGCTTACCTCACTGAGAAAGGCTGTGGTCTTGCCCACTTCATGAAACTCAGTTAATCTAGTATTCTCCACAGTCAAAAGCTAATGTCATATGATTTAGTGTCTGCTCTTTTTTCTTAATTTAGAAAAGGATAGTATGGTTTTTCTCAATTAGGTAATGGCAGTGTTCTCTAGAAAATTACTCATTCTTGTTTGTTTGCTTGTTTTGTTTTCTGAATCAGTTTCATGTATCCCTGGCTGACCCCAAACTTGCTACATAACTGAGGCTGACCTCCAGTGTGAGGCCCTGCAGCCATCTCAAGTGTTTGATTCCTGGTGTAGCACCACACCCCACATTGATGATTCAGGTGTTCAGTTTCCTGGTAGAGTGCTTCCATTTTTCTCAATAAAAGATACTCTAGATTTTCCAAAGTGACTTTTTTTTTAATAAGAAAAACCTCATTTTTTTCAGGTTTCAACAATGAAACTAGTTCTTTTAATTGCTGTAATTTTTGCTTACATAATTTTTTGTTTACAAGTTAATTTTTACTAGATTATTTAAATGAAAGTGATTTCATTCAAGATTTGCTTAAAATATTGGAGATTGTGATGTAATAAAAAACTCTTTTAAAACTCTCTTAAAATACTGAGCTACCAGTAAAGAAAATGACAAATTAGCATTTACACTTGTAGAATAATCCAATGTTACAATATTTTATACCTTTTAAATGTATGTCTTAAGTGTTATAATATTTCCTCTCTAGATTTTTGCTTCAGTGTCTTGAGGACCTTGATGCCAATCTACGAAAATTAAACTCTCGTCTGTTTGTGATTCGGGGACAGCCAGCTGATGTATTTCCCAGGCTTTTCAAGGTAATTTGAAAAATATATGCATAAATAATAATTTTTGCTGGAGAAAATAAAATACTTGGTAAATAAATAAGCATATTTATAATCAGTTGACATATTTGGTAAATAAATGACAAAAGCATAGGAAATAGTATTTATAAGTAAAAAAAATTTGGTCAGGCAGTGGTGGCACACAATTTTAATCCCAGCACTTGTGAAGCAGAGGCAGACAGATCTCTGAGTTCAGGGACAGCTAGGGCTACACAGAGAAGCCCTGTCTCAAAAAAATAGAAAATTAAAATTGAAGCTCATTTCTTCAGTGACAGTACCAATAATAAAATTAGACCATAGAGAAAGCTTCCAAAGACAAGTTCCTTCTTTGACCTCAGACTCCTTCTCCCCACAGAGCAGCCGGTTCACATTACTTGTGTAGGCACATAGAAACACCCTTCATGTGAACAAGAATGTATGGGAGTTCGATAGCCATGTCTGTCTGTACTAACGATTCTCTGCTTGAGTAGTCAGATGAGAACATATTAGAGACTACCTTCTGTTCCAAGCTTTATTCACACGCTGGAGATCATTTCGTATATCCTGAGTCTTTTATAGAGTTCTATAGTAGTAACAGGTATAGCTGTATTATTATTTCTTTTGCTAGTTTTCTGTTGAATGTTTGGCTATTCTTTATTTAGGTTTCTGGCTAACACAGGTGTTGCCAGTGAACATCTTTGTCCACATCTTTTAAAAAGATTTATTTATTTATTTATTTATTTATTTATTTATTTATTTATTTAGTATGCAGTATTCTCTCTTATGCTTGCATGCCAGAAGAGGGCACCAGAACTCATTATAGATAGTTGTGAGTCACCATGTGATTACTGGGAATTGAACTCAAGACCTCTGGAAGAGTAGTCAGTGTTCTTACCATCTGAGCCATCCCTGCAGCCCCATGAGATAATTTTTTTTTAAAAGAGGGCAGTGATGATTAATCTCAGTTGTCAACTTGATGATATTTAAAATTATCTGGGAGATAGGCCTCTGAGCATGACTGTTGGGGATTGTCTTGACTGTGCTGATTGAGGTGGAAAGACCTGTCCACTGTGGGTGGCACCATTCCCTGGCTGAGATCCTGTACTGTGACTGGAGAATTTGAGCTGAGAAGCTGCATGGTTCATCACTCTCTGCCTCTTGTAGATGTCATATGATCAAACTGTGTCAGGGGTCTATACTCTAGGACTGTGAGTCACAGCAAACCCTTTCCGTCTTAAGTTACTAGTGTTTTTATCACAACAACAGGAAAAGGCACGATGACAAGGACATCTGGGATCAAAGGATTGTAACATTGACACTTTTCTGATAATATACAATTATAGCACGTGGGAGCTTGGGGCCATTCTGATGTGGTTTGAAACAGTCTTACTGATCTCCTGGGTTTAGTCCAATGGAAACTTCTCAAAGAGAAAGTTTGGTCTAAGGGAGTGAAATGGATTGCCCAAGATCATACAGTTAGCTCATTTCAGTATCTCAGAGCAGACAGGAGCTGACTTTCTTGACTACCCTTTTATAGTCTTTCCTTCCTACTTACTATATATATGCTTACTAACTGTATATCTGCGTATGTTGCAGCTATTTGAGTTATTATAGTTTTGTAAAATTGCTTCCTCTCCCACCTCTAGTGTTTTTGAGACAGGTTTCTCTGTAGAACAGGCTGACCTCAGAGATTCATCTTGCCTTTGCCTCCCCAGTGCTGGGATTAAAGGCTTGTGCCACCATGCCCAGCAAACCAACTTACTTACCTACCTACCTTCCTTCCTTCCTCCCTCCCTCACTCCCTCCCTCCCTCCTTCCTTCCCTCCCTCCCTTCTTCCTTCCTTCTTTTCTTCCTTTTTTTTGCTAGGATGAAACATTTAATACCTAGCTAGTATAAGCTGCTCACTACAGTAGAATTCTCATCTAACCTAGGTGTGTGGAAGAGTTTTAACAAGAAAGCAGACTAGAAATAATAGCTATACATCATCCATGGCTTATAAAAAGTGGAGAAGTAAATATCTTCTAAGATTTTGGTTATTACAAATACCAAGATTTCTATTTTGTTTTTAGACAAACCTTTTCTCAGGAAAGCAACTTTTTTATTTTGTGTTGAATTTTCTTCTCTGAGACTGGAGCGAGGGCTCAGTGATTAAGAACACTTACTGCTCTTCCAGAAGACCTATGTTTGGTTTCTAGAATCCACATAACAGCTCATAGTCATCTGGAGCTCCAGTTCCAGGAGATCCAGTGCCCTCTTCTGGCCTCTGAGAACACTGCATGTGTTGTGAAACACTTCATTCGTGCAGGCAAAATACTCATAAATATAAAATAAAAGTAAGTAATTTAAGCACGTATTTTTAAAATTTTTCTTCTGGATAGAATAGCATTTTATTGTTTCAAGCCATCTTACACAGAGTTGGTGGATCGTTTGGCAGGAAAAGCCCTTGTCACCAGGTCTGTCAACTTGAATTTGATCTCTGGACCCACATGATTAGAAGAGAAAAGTGAGTCCTGCAAGTTGTCCTTTGACCTCCACATGGATGTTGAGGCATGCCCACTCTCACACATACATACTAATACATACATTTACTAATGAATATAATATAGACACATGAATATACACACATAAGGAGAGAGCTTCCATTTATTCTGCCTTTCCCTTCAGCAACATAAAAAAGAAGAGCTCTGCTGGGTTATTCACTATGTCATCAGTCAGTCTGATGTACCTGGTATTTGTAGAACAGGACATCCAGGAATTACAAGAGTAGACAGATGCACAAAGAACATTTACCAGAATGGACCACACTCACTCATACCATAGGTATCAGACAGTTGAAGTCTCACAAATTGTACTTTCTGACTTCAACAGAATTAAATTAAAAATCAATAGCAAGAGAATACCAAATATGTTTAAGTCCTCGGGGGAAAGTTAATAGTTTTCAAAATTATAGAAAGGAAGGATTCAGTGAAGTAACTTTTCACCTCAAAGATGGAAAAGGAATAATTAAGTCAATTACAAAAGGACATGGCAGAGAAGAAGGACCTTTCTGGAACTGTTTGGTGTGTAAACACATTTAATGTTCAGGGAATGTTCTTTTCTCTGGCTTTTCAGTTTTTCTTACAGAGATGTTGACTAATTCACTCCTAGGGAAGAAGTGAGTGAGGGAGAGTTTAGTGAGCTTAGGAGAAAGAGTGCTGCGTGTGCCTCAGACAGTTCCTTTTCTCCTCCATATGCACTTTCTTCTCCTGGGTGTTGCTTTAGAGTGACAGCCCTTAGTGCAAGGGAGGTGCTGCTCCTGATGGGCAGAACAGCAGGTAATGTTAAGTACTGCTGTTCAGTCCCGTAGTGAACCATCAGCAAGCTGATCTGTCCTAAACCTCTTAATACTTCCTCCTGTTTAGCTTTACTGATGGTGCTTTTTACATTTTACCTTTACCTCTCTGATGTACATGTCTGAACTCAAAAAGCAAAACCAGCAGGGAGTATTATTTATTGACTCACCTCAAACAACATCATCAAACATATTAGTTCTCAAAAAATACATAGATCTAATTACAAGATACTTATTAGGCAAAAGGTTTTCATGACTTAGACAATAAAGGTTGTTGTTAAACTACAAGGAGGTCTAAGAACCACAGCTAAGTACAACAGAATCAGGAGGACACCAGCTACAGTGCACACAAGTGCACACATGGAAGCCATGGTGGTGCTCAGGTTCACTGTATGCTCTGCGCTCTCTGCTCACTAATGCATCATGCAGGCTGGGGGTTGCAGTGTGTCTAGCCAAGTGAGCAGTCTTCTCACCGAGGCTCTCAGCTTTAAGTCCTGTGGTTTTATTACTAGTCTGTATGCTTTACCGTGGGGCACATACATATACATAAATACATAAATACATATACACAGTGTTTTTTACCCTCATTTATATTGTATTCTTTTTTGTTTTGTTGTTTGTTTGTTTGTTTTTCGAGACAGAGTTTCTCTGTATAGTCCTTGCTGTCCTGGAACTCTGTAGACCAGGCTGGCCTCGAACTCAGAAATCCGCCTGCCTCTGCCTCCCAAGTGCTGAGATTAAAGGCATGCGCCACCACCACCCAGCTATATTGTATTCTTAAATTTTAAAAGATAGCATGTCTGTACTAACAAATATGAACAAGGCAGTGAAATAAATAATTATTTTCTTTCCTCAGTTCTTCTGGAAGGTAAACAGCTGTTAACTGTGATATAATCAAGAACTTCAAGAAAGGAAGACCTTTTAAATGCTTTATTTTTATCTTAAGTTTCACAGACATTTTTATAAGATAGCTAATACATACAGCTGGCAGTCGCTGTAGGATACTGGCATTGATGGTGGTGTAAGTCAAAACAGCTGAAAATGTGCCCATCTATCAGAACTTTCAATGTGTTCATTTTTAATCTATTGATTGTTTCTCAATGATTTCTAGGAAGAAATAGAGTAAGTGCCTAAATATGCTTTAAATGTATGTACTGGGCTAGATGGCCGAGCAGTTAAGAGAGCTTGCTGCCTTCCAAGAAGACCTAAATTCAGATCCCAATACCCACAGTGGTCTATAACTCTAGCTCCTGGGATCTGATACCTTCTTCTGCCTTCTGTAGTATCCACACACATGAGCACACACACTTGAAAAAAAGAATTAATTGAAAGTAACCAGCTGCAAAATGTATAATATGAATTCAGAAGGCTTTATTGGGAACACCTTTGGTCTGTTATAATCTGGTATCATATAGTCAGTTAAGTAATAGAATTACAGGATCTCTTCTCCTTTTTGAAGCAAATCAGAATAGATTTTAGAATTCAACAAAACTTGACTACTTTCCTGAGAAAATCATTTAATTATCTTAAGTCATAATTTCCTTATTTATAGTAACTATATATACAATGGTATATATATTGTGTATATTGTATATTTTATATATATACAGTATCAGTCAGGAGTTGCTGTTTTTATTCCTGGTTCCAAATATTTTGCTGCCAACATTAGTAATGATCAGAAATTAAACACTCATTCTCGGCAAAACAGTTCATACATATCAGCTACCAAAGGTTTGTTAAAGAGCGGTGCTTCGAGTCAGCGGGTGGAAGGTCACATGTTCTGTTCCGTGAACCTGAACATGTCCCATTTAAGGAAATAATAACTTTATCTGCAAAATGCCAAACTGAGGTGCTTTTCATCCAGAATTAAATAAGGTAATGTAGGTACTTAAAAAAGAATATTGCCTAAACACTTTATGTAAAGAGTACATTTAAGTATATTGCTAGATTGGCTCATGCCAGGCAGAAGCCTGAAGTCTAGTTAGCGCATATATAAATATTTCCATATTCTCACATTGATAAATTCTATAATTTTCTTCATATTTGAATTTTGATTTATGTATAATCGTTTGATGTAGATTTTGAACTTATTTACTGTTATAAGAAGAACATAACTATAAAAGTGTAATGTGTGACTGTCCCTTTTTGTCATGTTTTAGGAATGGAACATTACTAAACTTTCAATTGAGTATGATTCTGAGCCTTTTGGGAAGGAACGGGATGCAGCTATCAAGAAGCTGGCCACCGAGGCTGGCGTGGAGGTCATCGTGCGCATTTCACATACGCTCTATGACCTGGACAAGTAAGGCTTTTTTATTACAAGAAAATATATAATGTTATTACCATCTTAGACATTTTTAGGTACATAATTGAGTAAAGTTTTAACAATGGGAAGTATTAGAATCAGAATTGTAAGATTTAAATGAATTTATATCAAGCCCTTAGCATTTTACCTAGCTGCTATGGTGTTTATTCACTCAGTTGTAATACCAAAATTGTAGACACAGTGTACAAGATAAAAATATTTAGCGCTTCAGTTTTAAACTAAGAAATGCTATTTACACATTTTTTTTTTAACTGCTACCTTGGCCCACTATTGCCTTTCAGCGCTGTCAGCGTAATTAAATTAACAGCTTAACATCTCCATATCTTACTTTGATATATTTTGTGTGATTTTGTTTTATGTATACTAGCTTATCCTTTCATTTAATTGAGATGAGAACTGAAGTAATAACCTACTCAGAGTCCTGTGAACCACGGCATCAGACCCTGTGTGCCAGTGTGTCTGTTGATGGCAAGTGTGCTAGTACCAGGCATGCTTTGACTAGTGTGGTCTGGCCAGTTTAAATTTAGAAAGTAACACATGCTGAGAGCTTAGGAGGTTCATGAGCTGTTTACAGTAACTTCTGGCATGAAATTGTCTTTATAAACATGAAAATTCACAATGTATTTATCCTTTAAGCAATTTTACCTTTTAAGTTATTTACACATTATACCAAGTAAACAACTAATTCTATAAATAACATAACAAACCGATTTTACTTGTGTTAGCAAGTAAATGAATAAAACCACTTTTTGATCCAGACAAGCATCTTCCCTTGGTGTTGACTTACGTGTGCTAGTCCTTTTGGTAACAACACTTCATCTGGTCCCAGTTTTCTTACCATCAGTGGGTGAGCAGGAGGAGACAGAATAAGATGAGAGAAGTCGCTTCTAAGTGGGAGACTCAGCCATATCATAGAATTAGTTTTTATTGGATTGATTGTGAATACATACCAAAGGGGTGTGTGTGTGTGTGTGTGTGTGTGTGTGTGTGCGCACGTGTGTGAGAATTGCTGGTAGATAATTAAGAGATACTTAATAGTGTCATTGTAGCATTACTGAATTCAACAAGCTTCATTATAGCCTATATGTAGTCTCAAGATAGTAAACCAAAACAAACTGTACTTAGAGCAGGGAGGACCGCTTTCCTGGTGGTTTCCTCCTGTAACATAGTCAGTAATATGCAGGGTATAAAGAAAATACATAATGTTTTGAATGAAGAAATACTTGATTAGCAGTTTTATTAGTTATGTGATCTTGGCTATTTTATTTAACCCTCTGAAAGGCTTTCATTTCTACATCTATAGATGGTAAAGCTGAGTTTTAACTGTAATTATAAGCAAATAGCTATAATGAAAAATGTAATTAGTTACTCTGAAACCACCATGTCTAGACTTAATGCAAACCTATGGAAGAGCTGCTGGCTTTCCTTTTCCTAGAAGTGTGGCGGGACTGAGGTACCTAGCAGTCAGCAATAACTACATAATGTACTTAAATATAAATGACTTGGAACGTGGGGTGCATGTTTGCATAGTATTTCATGAGGACATTCCAAAAGCCCTGGTGGATTTGCAGAACCACCAATCACATTGAGCCTTGTGTTCACCGTGCTGACTGTCTAAAGATCACACCATGATAAAGCTTGGTTATAAATTATAAATTATAGAAGTCAACAATAATATTGATCAATTAGAACAGTGCTACAATACATTGTGTGAGTCTAGATACAATATCTTTGCAGCACAAGTGAACACAAGTAACTGAAACCACAGAAAACCAAAGCTCAGCTAGGGGCTGCTGCTGCGTAACAGATCACATGTGCTGAGGTCTGTCACAAGAGCACACACAACAGAACACATCAGTACAGTCTCAAGTCCACAGAGGAAAAGGGCCAGAGGAGACAGGGTTTCTCTGTGTAGAACTGGCTGTCCTGGAACTCACTCTGTAGACCAGGCTAGCCTCAAACTCAGAAATCCACCTACCTCTGCCTCCCAAGTGCTGGGATTAAAGGTGTGCGCCACCACTGCCCGGCGCAAATTTTACTTTTATTGATTATTTCTTGTTATAATTATTGGCCTAGTTTAATCAGTGCCTCTTGAGATGTCTTGAATTGGTTCATTTTCACTTCTCCACTTATATTATTAATTTTTATATACATAGCCTATAGGCTAGTTGAACTACTTTGTTATTTTTTAGTCATAATCCTAAATATTTGTCATCAGTGATTTGATGATGTATACTGTATTATTTGACATCTAGTAGATATCTAGGAATTCAAGAGAATGTTTTTAGATTCTTTAACCATTTCTGAACATATTTTCTGGTCATATCAGAAGCTAACCCTCAAAAGGTTTTAATTGATAAATTTTTTGATAGTAAGCCTTTCTGTTATCATTTACTAACTGTGTCTTACTCACTCTTGTAACAGGATCATAGAACTCAATGGTGGGCAGCCACCTCTAACATATAAAAGGTTTCAGACTCTTGTCAGTAAAATGGAGCCACTGGAGATGCCAGCAGACACCATCACATCAGATGTGATAGGAAAGTGCGCGACCCCTCTGTCTGATGACCATGATGAGAAATACGGAGTTCCTTCCCTGGAAGAGCTCGGTGGGTGCAGCGGTTGGCAGTCCCCCAGAGGACATGGGCAGCACGAAGTGGGCTAGATGGGTAGGAGACCTGGGTAGATCTGGAAAGCTTTAGAGGGATGGGTCAGGGGAGTGGGTGTAATCAGAATATGATGTCTGAAATTCCCAAGTAATTAAAGGGTATATTTTAAAATGCTTAATAATCATAAATCGCTTGGAAATTTCACTTCTAATGTATTTTTACTGGAAGAAGAGAAAAGTAAAGGGGAAAATAAAAGAAAAACCTAGTAACCAAAAGTATCTGTGCACTCTTAACATGTGACGTGCTGTCAGGTGAAGATGTGTATCCTGAAGATAGGAGCTGGACTGTGGTCTTCGGGGCTGGAGTCCGACGTTGGGGGGGCTCCCGAGTAGGCCTGTTTAGGCCTGTGCAGTCCTCTGTAAGCCAGTGTAGGCCTGTAGACTTGTGTCTATTTGATTATCTTTATTTTATTTTTGCAGAGTAATTTGTTTCCTGAGTAAGTGTGGTCAGGTAAAAAAGTTTTGTTTTATAATAATAACAATATTAATGACAGTTTTCCTTCCTTCGTTTCTTTCATTCCTTTTCCTTAGGCTTTGATACAGATGGCTTGTCCTCTGCAGTATGGCCAGGAGGAGAAACTGAGGCACTTACACGTTTGGAAAGGCATTTGGAAAGAAAGGTACAATGTAGATTCCAAATGAACATTTCAAAACTTATTTCACTTTTGTTTAGATGAGATCAGGCACATCCAGGGTATCTTGCCCATACATAAGCTTTTAAAAACAAACAAACAAAAAAACTGTTGACCAAAGAAGACTGACAGAAATGGTTACAACCGCACAAGTCGAATGTTTGAAAATCTCAGTTTGCTGTCACTTACACGCCCTTTCCTCCCTGTGGCTTACTGGCGTTGCCGGTGTCATGCTGTTGCTTCTGTTCCTTCCCCTGTGTCAGCTGAGCTGAGGAGCTGGAGCAGGATTCTGCCTGCAGCCCTACTCCTCTGTCAGAACTCCAATGGGTTCCATGATACAGTGTCACTTGTGTATTTTGTTAGTATCACTGTTACTGCATATTGATCATACAAACTAACAAGACTCACATGTATTGATCCTGTTCATCCCTCTCAGATACTGTGCCCTTGGCTGACAACCCTCAGCCTCGCACTCTCGGATCACCTAATAAAGCTTGTTTATAAGTTTTTTAGAACTTGTAATAAGTTATTTAGAACCTGTAAGTTTTTTGTGGAATTTTCCTTTTAATGTTTTCCAACTATCGTTACTTGACCATGAGCATCTGAAACCTTAGGAAGGCAGTGGTGGGCAAGGCACTTTTACCTCAGTGTTCAAAGAGCCAGGATGAGGTGCTTTGCTCCTGATGCTGGGGATCTGAAGGTGCTTTACTCACTTATTTCACATGAGTGCATGCTGCACATGGATGGCATTCAGGGAAAGACAACTCACCCTTTAAAGTCCCTTTCTAAAATGACTAAATCAGAGATTTATAGCTGGGATAATAACACATTCCTCAAAACCCTCAGTTTTGAGGGGTGTGTGTGTGTGTGTGTGTGTGTGTGTGTGTCCTCTCCTCCCATGCGGTGTTGGGAGTTGTTGGCAGCAGGTGCTTTACACACTGCTGAGTTTTCCAGTCCACTGGGGTAATTCTGAACACTGTTTTCATGTGGTCATAGCAGTGACTGTAGTTGTCTCTGTTTCCAGGCCTGGGTGGCAAACTTTGAGAGACCTCGGATGAATGCCAACTCCCTCCTGGCGAGTCCGACTGGACTCAGCCCTTACCTCCGCTTTGGTTGTTTGTCATGTCGGCTGTTTTATTTCAAGCTAACAGATCTCTACAAAAAGGTATTATCTGAACTCACAGTATATTTTTTGAAATATTTGAAAAATTTTTTCTGATAATACTTTTTTGTTTTTAATCGCAGGTAAAGAAAAATAGTTCCCCTCCCCTTTCTCTTTATGGGCAACTCCTGTGGCGTGAATTTTTTTATACTGCAGCCACAAACAACCCACGCTTTGACAAAATGGAAGGGAACCCCATTTGTGTTCAGATCCCTTGGGATAAGAATCCTGAAGCTCTGGCCAAATGGGCAGAAGGCCGGACTGGCTTTCCCTGGATTGATGCCATCATGACACAGCTTCGTCAGGAGGGCTGGATCCACCATTTAGCCAGACATGCGGTTGCATGTTTCCTGACTCGCGGTGACCTGTGGATCAGTTGGGAAGAAGGGATGAAGGTAAATGTTCTGACTGATGTCGTCTGTGGCTACACCGAGATGTGCTAGTGCACGTCTGAAGCCTGAGCAGCCTGGGAGCTGAGGGAAGGGAAGCACCAGAAACTCAAGGCATCTTGGGTGGCAGTGTGAGGCGGGGAAGAGCTGGCTGGTGGGGTGCAGGGGTGTACTCGCCCTGTAGGTTAGTTAGCCTTCCACTGGATAAAGCGTATAATGCCCACAGTATAGACACAGTTTGCAAGAGCAAGGGCTAGTTAAATTGTGTAACCAAAAGTCGTTTCTACAGTTAAGCCATCCTCCTACTACTGTTTAGCACTCTGGCCCTGGGTGGTAGTACAGGCCTGCAATCCCATATACTATATGCTAGACGTGAGAAGACCCGGACTACACATAATCGGCCTATCTTTAAGAGTAAGAAAAGTAATTTATTGGATAGATGAATTTATAGGTGGCAGTCTCTGTCATACTCACCCATGAGCTCTTAGAAATAGTGAGTTCACATCACATGAACTGTAAGCTGCCTCATCTTACATCACGTTACCGTCTCACTGATCTGTTAATGCCTGTGTTGAAGCAGACCCTGTTCCATGACATGACCACGGAGTTACACTGCACACCTGTATCTTCTGTTACCTGTCTAGCTGCATCGTCAGGCTTTCCAATTCAAAGAATGTTTCGTTATTTTTTTTTTTAAAAAAAAAACTGTTTAAAATTTATGTGTGTGTGGGGTCTGTGGGGCTGGGTTAGAGGACTTGTTGGTCCTCTCCACCATGTGGGGTCTGGGAATTGAACTCAGGTCATCAGGCTTGGCAGCAAGCCCCTTACCCAGCGAGCCGTCTCATCTCTTCAGGGACTGTTTCTGAGTCTATTCTTTGTTTCTCAATTATCAAGGATTTGTTTTCCATCTCATCTCCTAGTACCTACTTAACAAATATATTAATACATTATTTACTTATATTTTCTTTAGATCAGAGCATTTGAAATTTAAACTATAATGCTACTGTATTTATGGTACCTTAGAGTGGCATGTTCCCTTTGTCCATGCAGTATACCAAGCTTCTAGATTTTTCTTTGTGATTTTAGTTGATGATATTTTTGCTTTCTTAAAAGTGTGATACTGTCCTTTTTTAATCTACTAATATCGTACAGCTCTTTAAAACTCAGTAATTTGAGTAAGTTTTTTATTCTCCTCACAGTAGCACTCCCAAGGATATTGTCTTAGTTATTTTTCTATTGTCATGACCAAACAGCATGACCAAGGGAACTTAGAAACAAGAGCATTTAACTAGGGTGATAGTTTCAGACAGTAGTAGAATCTGTGGCCATCTTGATGGGAGCCCAGCAGCAGGGAGGCGGTCGTGAATGTGGAGCCGGAGCGCAGAGCGTACACCTGAGAGAGAGAGCCTTCAGTTGTGTCTAGGTTTTCTTGTCTTGCGTTTTGATCTACAGTGGCCTTAGAACTGCTGCCTTGGGTAAGTAAACACGTGTGTGAATTGATTGGTTACTGTCTCTTCCCCAGGTCTTTGAGGAGCTGCTGCTCGACGCAGACTGGAGCATCAACGCGGGGAGCTGGATGTGGCTGTCCTGCAGCTCCTTCTTCCAACAGTTTTTCCACTGCTACTGCCCTGTGGGTTTTGGTAGGAGGACAGATCCCAATGGAGACTATATTAGGTAAGGCAAGGGTGGCCACTGTTTAGTTTAAAATAGCTAATCCCAGGAAGAGCTTTTCCTGCTTAGCAACACTTAAGCAACACTAGTATTCTCTAGTCTTTCGGGGCATGGCGGCACACACCTTTAATCCCAGCACCCAGGAGGCAGAGGCAGGCTCATCTCAGAATTCAAGAATTCTGTATGCTTGGTGGGCAGCAGAACTGAGAAGAATAAACACATCATTTAAGTGATATTGATATGCTTTTTTTCATTCATGGTTCATATTTTATTGTAATGTGTTTATAATGTAGTTCATTAAAAAAAAAAATTCCCTTCTTCCAAAAGGCGTTATTTACCTGTCTTAAGAGGCTTCCCTGCAAAATATATCTACGATCCTTGGAATGCACCAGAAGGTATCCAGAAGGTAGCCAAATGTTTGATAGGAGTTAATTATCCCAAACCAATGGTGAACCATGCTGAGGCCAGCCGATTAAATATTGAAAGAATGAAGCAGATCTACCAGCAGCTCTCCCGGTACAGAGGGCTAGGTATGTCAGTCCCCGTCCCCTGGACGTGTCTCCTTGCCAGCTGCAGAGCTATCATTGAGTTTTTCTTGGTCATAATTTAATAGGAAAATGTTTCCCTTCAGGTCTTCTTGCCTCGGTCCCTTCTAATCCCAATGGGAACGGAGGGCTCATGGGCTACGCTCCTGGGGAGAACGTCCCGAGCTGTAGCAGCGGCAGCGGAAGTAAGTGACATGTTTCTGGACTTGGTAACATAAAGAGGAAAATGAGCAAACACACGTTAGTGAGCCTTGTTGGAATAGGTTTCCCTTTTTAAAAAACTGTCTTTAAAATTAAAAGTTGTTTGTGTACATGAATGCAAGGTACGTGTATACATCCCCTCCTTTCCTCCCTTGGTAAAGATGTTAAAGATGCAAGATATCGTTGCATGTAGTTGATACAGAGTCAAGCTAAAAGTCTTGTAAAGTGAATGACAAGGAGTTTTGTTTTGTTTTGATGTGATTCTGAGAGCAAGCTTGGGTCAGTGCTCTACCTAAGCAACTCCACTCTCAAGATCAGCTGAGTGTAAAGTGAAGCTCAGATCTGTTTTCAGAATGTTCGTTATTTTTTACTCTTACTTGGTACACATCAGCTAGAAAGCCATGTGAAAGGTCGGTAGTCTGGAGGCCCCGCTGAACAATTCACCTTATACCAGCATCATCCTTGTACACAGGGGCTTGTCTTTCAGAGTCTTGTCTGAGAAACTGTTTCATTTCTTAATCAATTTTCAATGTGTGATAGTAGTGTCAAAAGTCCCTCTATGGGCTGAGACATGGTTCAGTGGCTAAGAGTGCTTGCTGCTCTTACAAAGGACCCAAGTCAGATTCCCAGATGACACAGCGAATGTCTCACAACTGCCTGTATCTCCAGCTTTAGGAATCTGACACCCTCTCCTGGCCTCTTTAGATACCTGCACACACACACACACACACACACACACACACACACACACACACAAAATGTACATAGAAACAAACAGACACACAGACAAACACAACTTAAAAATATGTGTCTGTATTCCTTAAAAGTCAGTGTACATTGGAAATTTGCATCATTACATTAGTTTTCTAAGGTTACAACCAAAACTCATGTGAGACTGAGCCATAAGGTTCAAAACAAACATCACTTCAGAAATGCTTTTTTATTGTAAGATACAGCATGTTCTAAGCTGTTATTAAGAATAAAGTTTTTTTTCTTTTTTCTTTTCTTCTTCTTTTTTTTTTTTGATAGTGTTGAGAATTGAAGCCAGAATTTTTCTGTGCTGTATTCTCAATCTGAGAATAAAACCCCTTTAAGAAGTAACTATTTGTAATCAGAAAGTTCTTGTGTCTCTATGAAAGCTGCATGTATGCTATCTTCAAGGATTCCTTTTGTGGGGAAGAAAACACATGTTTTTTTCCAGCCAGTCTTGTATCCAGTAGGTGATTGGGCTACCTCTGGCAGTAGTCTCCAGGACAGTTAGAGGTGAATTCTGACTTAATGTTTGAGAAAATCATCATATGAAGGTTAGCTGGCTTATGAGACCCCACAGCTAGTCAGTAGTTGCATCAGACTGAATCCAGCTTGCACTCTTTCTGCATCAGGAGGCCTGCTCTGCAGATGCAGTTCCGTATGTTCTGTTTATAAGGTAAAATATATCACTGCTGGGACATGGCTCACCCCAGAACAGCTGCCAGTGGTGACAGATTACTGCAGATGTGTCCCTATAATCTGAAGTAAATCTCTGCTGTTGTTTTGAGAATTCTTTCATATCTCTTCTTCAGTTCTCAGCCTCATCAGCCCTCACAAGGTGTGAGAGACAAGCTCTGGGTGTGCTCTGATGACAGGCAGGAAGCAGACGGGAGGGTGCTAGGTGGCTATAGGTGCCTGGCTGGGGACCTGTGAGGGCCACGCTGCTCTGAGCCCTTTGTTTGAGTTATCCTAAAGGCTAGTCACAAGAGCAGGTTAAATTGAGCTACTTTTGTTTCATAACTATATAAAGTAAAATCTTTTTCATGTTACAGAAGAATTACTCATGAAGTTACTATAATTAATTAATTAATAAATACATAAATAGTTTGCCCACACTACCTTTGGGGATGTTTCTCTGAGGTGTTTAAAGACATAAAGGATGTAAACCCACATAGCCCTTCCGGTCTAAAGTGTAGAGGGCAAAAGGTGAAGACCTCTAAGTCCCTGCCTCATTGAATAGTGTACCAGAGAGAAAGCGCGGAGAGCCAAGGGAACACCAAGGTTGGTTTCAGAAGACGGTGGACTGGAAGTCTGCTAATTGTCAGATAGAAGCAAAAGCATTTTAGAGCTAGACATTGCTAGTGTTGTGGAAAGATCTTAGGGTTCACTCTGTACAGGCAAGCCTTTCTTTGGTCAGGAAGAAGCCTTTCCTGACTTGAAAAGATGTTCATACTTTTAACTTACATTGCTTTATGCCCAACACCTACCCTTTCTGTGGGCTGTTACTGTCAGTGCCTGACATGACACATCGAAGTTCACAATCCTCAATGACATTTTTGTGCTGTGTACTACTACTAAGCTATACACATACCTCTCTTTGAGGGGATTTTTTTTTTTTAATGACTGGAAAGTTCCTAATCTCTGCAATACAAATAACATTTTTTTCATTTTTACAATTTTTTATGCGTAGGAAATTAGCCATAGACCCAATTATATCTTAATGTACTTTTGTTTTTATAGTGAAATAGACACCATCTATTTCCTAGTAGGAAAATGGTTTAGTTTTAATTTCATTTTTGGTGTACTTTTTCTATTAAAAATAGTCTGTTTATCAGCATTATTGCTCATCAAAGAACTGCAGACTGAGCACTGTGAGGTAGTGCTTTGCACATCCCCATAAAGTGGCCAGCCACGTATCACCGAGTCCAGGTTAGTGTGACAGCCTGGAAAGAGCCAGGCAGACGGGGGTAAGATGGTTACTATGTACCTGCTAGGGTAGAGGGGAAATGCCAGTACAGAGGGAAAGCCTGACGTGTGAGGGCTTTGGAGAAACTGCAGTTTGTGAAGAAGCACGGATGTATAACCCCCAAGCCCCACTCCCAACTAGTCTCCCAAAGAACACACATGTTCCCCATAAGCTAACAATTTCTTGTTCATGACAACTTAATCATAAAATTATGTAGAGTGCTCAATCAAGTGTTACTTATAAAACAACAATATGCTAATACTTGTGTTTTATGTATGACCTCAAAAACCTCTTATGAGCCAGATGGGAAAAGTAACATCTTACAAAAGTGGCCGATCTTCAGAACAGTGGTTCTCGACCTTTCTAATGCTGCGACCCTGTAATCCTGTTCCTTGTGTTGAGGTGTCCCCAACCATAGAAGTACTTTGTTGCTACTTCATAGCTATAATGTCACTGCTGTTATGGATGATAATGTGAATACCTGAGTGTTCTGAGGTCTTCGGGAACTGGGAAAGGGCTGTTTGACCTGTGCCCAGGGTCGTGACCCACAGCTTAAGAACCACTGCTTGAAGGTACAAAGTCAGTGGTTACCTTGGGCGCAGGAATGAAATGAATGCATGGGCAGGAGGGACCTTCCAAGTGTGATAGGAAAACATGAATTTAGTGACGTGTGAGGTGTGCTGTAAACCTATGGTCCTGTGACCCACTCACGCCTGCTAACCTCACCTCAGGGCTGAGGCAGCAGTGCCCCAGGTGCTTGTCTTCTGATTTTCTGACCCAACTTAGCCTCAGAAAACTCAGAATATCCTGGGGCAGCCCTTGCACTTGCCTTTGTACCATGTGCTTTGCATAGACCCATCCCTGCTAGGCAGACACTAACATACCCTTACATAGCAAGAAGTCATTGTGAGGTGCTTAAAGTAGTGGATGTGGTGTGTGTGTGTGTGTGTGTGTGTAGATGAACTGGTCTTCCTCTGGTAAAATGTGCTTGTGAAGTTGAGTTGCCTCATCCAGTTCACCTTTACTCTTGACAAAAGTCATGAACTAGTGCTTGTGAGACTCACTGTAAACCCCTGATTGATTGACACTTCATTTTTAGAAATTACATGCTTTTGTTAATGTGTTTTCAAAAATATTATACAGGGAAATACATTTGGTATCTGGAAAACTGATAGCAAAGAATAATTCTTTAGAAGCAGTTGTTTCTGTTTTCTGTGGGTCGGTGAAGTTGATGTGATTAGAAGATTAGAACTGGTGACTTTAATAGCTGTGGTATTTAATGCTCAAGAACCTTTGTTTCTTTGGAGATAGGGCCTTAATGTAGCCCAGGCTGCCTTACATGCAGTCTCCTGCCTCTACCTCCTGGGTGCTGGGATTACAGCCATGTACCCAGTTGTTATGAGGTATTGAGGATTAACTGTAGGACTGACAGTGTGTGCCCGGCTGCGGTGCGCCTGGCTGTGGTGTGCCCGCCTGGCTGCGGTTTACCTGGCAGGGACTCCACCCACTGAGCTGCATCCTGCCCAGCTCCTTTCTTATTTGAGAGTCTGGCACTTTGTCTTAGGCCCTGAACTTCATTGTCCCTCAGCTTGCAGGGGCTAGGGTCATGGACAGATAAATAGCCGCCATGTTAAGTGCTTTATCTTGCAAATGAGTACTCATAAGAAACCAAGGATCTGTGTAAAAAGCAGAAACTCTCCTCTCCCAGATGCCTAAACTGAGCTTAATCCCTGGGACCCATTCATTGGCCAAAGGAGAAAATTCCTGAAAGCTGTTCTCTGACCTCTACACAGGTGTATACACACACACACACACACACACACACACACACACACACACACACACACGACATAATACATACACTGTGCATACACATAAGCTTACATTCTCAGTCATATTGTTGTGTAAGGGGGGAGGGATTACTTGAGTCACTGTCAAGAATGGACTCCGCCATGGCAAGGGCGAGATGATGCAGGAACTGAAAGCAGCTGGTCACATGACATCCACAGTGGAGAAGCAAGTGGCGGATGTTGCTGCTCAGCTCACTGTATTCCTGTATGCAGTTGGGATCCTAGCCCATGGTAAGATGCTACCCACGAGCATGCCCAGAGACTGTCACATTGACAGCATTAACCATCGTAGCCATTGAGATGACTGTGTGTTAGAAGGCCTATCACAAGCTCCTTTCCCATACTGCACATGAACATGTAATGAACAGTAGGCATAAGTGAGTCATTTCAGGGAGGAAACAATGAAATACTTTTCAGTGTAATTTAGAAAACTCAGAAAAACGTAAAAGAGCAAGAATGCCTTATAAAGTTCCAGCTGATGTGGTCCTTACTAAGGTCAGTGCCTTTCCTTCCAGAATCTTCTCTTTGAGAATTTCATAGATGCATATAGTGTTTTGATCAAACACAGCCCTTTCTTCTCTCCTCCAGCCCCTCACCCTCACACAGGCAATTCCAGTTCCCTGTGCTCTGTTCCTGAGACTCAGAGTTCCCGAACTGCTTCTCATGCCGTGTGGGCTCTCAGGACCCACAGCCCGTCAGTAGTTTCTCCAGCTCCTCCCGCATCAGTGCTGGGCTTTTGTGTACCTTGTCTCTGTGTAGGTCTTGTTTGTGCAATCATAGCCATTGTAGTTCCTGTGTGAGACTTTTCTATTATGACCGATTTCCAGCATATTTTATGTAGCTTTTGCCCAATCTGTTTGAGTTTTTAAGTCATAATTTTGTGAAAAGCCCATTCTTTATGTTATAACATAAAGGGAAACAGTGCTTTTGCCCTTACAAACCTGTCTGGAACAAGATTGTTTTTCCTCAGTGCAGGTATCAAACTCACAGTCTTGTGAATGCTCTGTAGTCTATCACCTGAGCCATGCCTTATTCGCAAAGGTAAACTGGTTTTGTTTGGGAGATGGTGTCTTATTATTTAGCCTAGTTCGGCCTCAAGCTCAAGAGCAGCCTGTTCCTGCCTCCTGAGACCTGAGATCACAGGTCTGCATCCCCACACTTGGTAGGAAATACTTTTTTAAGTGAATTTCAGGTGGGCAAGTTGACTTAGGAAGTTAAGTGCCACCAAGCCTGACTGCCTGAGTTTGATCCTTAGGAGCCACATGATAAAAGGACAGAACTCCCATAAGCTGCACACACACACACATACACACACACACACACACACACACACACACACACATACACACAC